AACTCCAAAATGATTCTTTTTAATAATTACTAATTTGGGGTTTATTTTTCTTCTTCCACAAATATGTTGGCACTATACAGTGTATATTATATATACACTAGGCAATATACAGCATTTCAAATCAAATTTAAATGGCTTTATTCCATTTTATAGTTTGCAAAATGAAAAGTTAATACTATTCACTCATTCACAACCCTAGCAGAGCTGATTTTCTGATTGAGTCTTAAACTGAGACAAGCCTACCTACCAGCCCAGGTCCTTGAATTTGACATAAGCTGATGTAACAGTTTACGTTGACATGTTCTTATTGACTTATTGCAATTTTAATGATCAATTTGTATTGTCTATCACATTTGTTTAAGACCCAGTTTAGATTAGTGTCAAAGTCACTTTGAAGTTTTAGAAAATAGCTATTGTGGTCACTAAACAATCCTTTGCCATTTGCGGCATTGTCTGTGGTCTATCCTGTGGCGGTGGATGAGAGACGTGGGCTGTCATTAAGATATCACCCAGATTTCTGTTAACAAAATGAACGAGCCTCCTGGCTCCTGTAAGACCTTATCAATAATCTCTGTGACGTTCTACTTAACCTTTCTCTAATTTTTCAATGTCACTTGTAAACAACAAAGCCAGAAGTGTACATTGTGTTTGAAAAAGCGGGGCCGATACTTGCTTTTCGACTTTTGCTTTACGAGAATGGTGTGGTCATATCCATTTATCTAGAGGTCAAACCCTGGCTAAGGCGGCCACTGGAAACACAGCCACTAACCACAAGAGCTATCTAATCAGCAACAAGCCATCTTGGAGCCTTTTGTAAAGAAATTGCACCTTTGAACCAACCTGAGGGCCCATATAAGTAATGTCTTCCCCATCCTCCTTGTTACCCGTCTCCCAGGAAAAGAGATTGGGCTAAGAACACTGTCACTGTAAGGTCAAGTGTGTAGTTGGGCAGAACTTATATGAACACGTTCAACCTCAAAAAAGAGAACGAGGGCTTCCCTGGTGGCGCAGTGGTTGAGAGTCTGCCTGCCGATGCAGGGGACATGGGTTCGTGCCCCGGTCTGGGAAGATCCCACATGCTGCGGAGCGGCTAGGCCCGTGAGCCGTTGCTGCTGAGCCTGCGCGTCCGGAGCCTGTTCTCCGCAATGGGAGAGGCCACAACAGTAAGAGGCCCCCATACTGCAAAAAAAAAAAAAAGAGAGAATGAACTTCTAGCACTTTCCTCATACAGAGTTACAGAGAAAAACCACAGGGATCATTCTGCCTTCTCCTTCTCTTCCCCTCTCTCTTTAGGAACGAGGTAAAGCCCCTCTTAGTCCTTTTTCGGATAAGGCGTCTGCAGATGAGGAGTGATGATGATAAGGGAAGAAGAAAGATGACAGGAAAGTTCCGGAGCAGCTGTGTGCGGAAATGTTGGGTAAGGATCCCTCCCTGGCTAGGTGCAGAGGGCTCTGTATACTGTGGGCCTCCCTATATTACACACGGTAAGCATTTCTATTCATATGATTCTATTCATAATGACCTTCAGGAAAGAGTTAAAGTCATGGTTCTCACCAGGGGGCAACTTGGCCCTCCAGGGGACATTTGGCAACGTCTGGAGACATTTTTGATGTCACAACTGAGGAGTTGCTACTGGCATGTAGTGAACAAAGGCCAGGGATGCTCCTATCCATCCTATAGCACAAGAAAACATTAGCAAGTGAAAAATAGCAACAGTGCTGAGGTTAAGAAACTCTGTATTAAGACCTTAGAAAATTACTACTTTTTTTTTTTAAATCTTGGTTATAAGTAACCAGGACTCGTTTAGGCAAGACTGCTGAGTACACCTTCCCTTTGGACACTTAAGATTTCCACTGCATCCCCACCTCTGTAGAAAGATCAATTCTGGAGGAGCGAACCAGGTTTTCATTGACTTAACCAAACACCCTCCCGTTGTTTTCCATGTGGAGTACCTACAGGAACAAAGAACAAGAGGTTGAAGATGGTTGTTTTCCTAAGCTTTAAAGATGGGAAGGAAATTCATCATCCTAAGTGGCAAGGAAAAAGAAGGACATAGCACAGTCTTCCTTGCCTAAACCATTATGTGGGGAATAACACCGCAAACCTGGTTAATTCCTTCATCCTGCAAGACTCAGGTGAGGCAAGCATCCTCCCCCGTCTGAGTTAGGAGACCTCCCTCATTTCTCACATGCATACTCGACTTAACTCTGGTACAGACTTATTATATTGCACTGCTTTATAAAGCATCTCTTTACCCCTCCTTCTCACGAGACCATAAACTCCCCGGGTAAAAAGGATCATGGCTCTACCTGTATCCTCAGCATCTAGCACAGTCCTTGACACATAGAAGATATTCAGTAGCTGTTTCTGAATCAATATCGATATTTCATTATTATGAACAATGATACAAGAGTTTAAGAGGGCAGACCTTAAAATTTTATAAATCAGAAAAATAAGTCAGAGTTTAGAAGTTTAGATGACTCAAGCTAGAACATCGTTAACTATTTTTAGCTGCTTTTAACAGCTAAGAGTCAGCTGTAACCTGGTGTTTAATCTCCAGCGTAGAGAGGACCAGAACGACGGAATAGACTCTAAAAAGTGATTTAATCACCAATTCTATTCATCACTTGGTGCATCCATGGTCACTATCACCAAAAACCATTCCTCTATAGATCACCTATGCCTAGTGATCTATAGAGGAATTTTTTTTATATAACTTTATTTATTTTTGGCTGCATTGGATCTTTGTTGCTGCGCTCGGGCTTTCTCTAGCTGTGGAGAGCAGGGGCTACTCTTCGTTGCGGTGCACGGGCTCTAGGGCACGCGGGTTTCAGTAGTTGCAGCATGCGGGCTCAGTAGCTGTGGCTCATGGGGTCTAGAGCGCAGGCTCAGTAGTTGTGGCTCACGGGCTTAGTTACTACGCGGCATGTGGGATCTTCCCGGACTAGGGTTTGAACCCATGTCCCCTGCATTGGCAGTGGGATTCTTAACCACTGCGCCACCAGGGAAGCCCTATAGAGGAATTTTAATGGCACTGATTACAAATCAAGGACATCTTCAACATAACAAAAAACACTAATGTGTTTATACATGTGCCAGGCAATCATGAGTATTCCTTCTTTCAAGCAAAAATGTAAGATTCTATTAATGTTTATTAGACTATATTCTGAGAGTAACTATAGAACCTACGAGTTAGTTAATTGTTTATTCAATAAATCTTTTTTTAGCTATGAATTTGTATAAGGCTCTTTGGCAGGAAATATGAGAGGCTCAGTATAAGACCCACACTGAACCCTGACAGACTTTACCATCTAAGAGAGAAAAAAGACTGAGTAATACAGCAAATCATTCAAGACCAAATGTAAGTAAATACTACATTGTCTTTTGCAGATGAGGATGGTATAGACGGGAAGAAAAGGGGAAGATCTGTGACAGCTAAGGACCTGAGGAGGTGAGACAGGAGGTGATATTTCTTAGTCCCTGCCATGCTTTCTAGTCACATTGCCAGGCCAGGCCAAGAAGAGAACTGTGAGTTTCTAGTCTTTTCTCTGAAAATATGACTGCTTCATCAACTTACAGATACAACCCATGGGTTCAGATTAGAAAATATATCCACAGTTGATGCTTTTTATTTGCAGATTCCATATCTGTGAATTTGCCTCCCCACAAAAATTTATTTGTGACACCAGAATCAATAAATAGTGCTTTCATGGTCCCTCCCGGACACGGGTAGAGGCCTGAAAAACTTGGGGAAACATGTGCACACCTCCCAGCAAAGGTCTAAAAAGGCTAAGCTCCACCTTCTTGTTTCAGCACTCAGATTAGAAACAAGTGCCCTTCTCACAGACTATAAACAGGCTATTTTTGTGTGTTATGGAGGGTGATTTTGCTATTTAAAACGATCCCCAAGCCTAGTGCTGAAGTGCTGTCAGGTATCCTAAGTGCCAGATGGCAGTCTGTGCCTTAGGGAGAAATGCATCCATTGAATAAGCTTAAGAAGTTTCATTCAGGTTTCCTAAGTTAAATAAGCTTAATAGGGCTGTTGACCGGGGAGCTCAATGTTAATGAGTTAACAGCAATGTATTAAGTGATGTATCGTTAAACAGAAACACACATAAAACGGTTATATACTGATCAGTTGACAAAAATTTGGGGTCCAGAATGTCAGAGGAACCTAGCACTGTATTTCTACCAGGAGCAATGATTCCTTACTGTAAATCCACCCTCCTTCCTCTCCCCGGGGCATTGGCCCGCTGTGCTGCAGCCCACGGATCTCGCCATTGGCCTAGCAACCTCATTCACAATAAACTGTCCCATAAAAACAAAAACAAAACACACACACACACAAAAGTTCATCTCCAGTATCCTGACACCAAGTGTCAACGGTGGAACTTTCTTCACCTAGGATATTAATTCATAATTTTTCTTTTTGTTGATGATTGATACCCTTCCCTTGATTTAAACGTACACATTATTTTTATCCCACATGCCCAGTAGTCATAGATTCCAAAGCCACTGGATCACTTGAGTACGTAAGTGCCACTGTTTAATGAAATATGTATATTCAGGTCTGTAAACTTAAACACGTGACTTGGAGTGCTACTTGCAGACGATTCTGACGGTTAAGTATTTACATGGACCATAGTGATATCCAAAAGAAAAATGCTTTTAAATTTGTGGATTATTTCATTGAACTATATAAAATGGGTATCAATAAATGTATTCACTAAAAAAAACCCCAAATACACAAAACAGTGAAGGCACAGCCGACCTCAAGCCTTCGTAGGGCGGAGCACGCGCCCACAGCCCGGAGCGGGCGCCGTCCGCCCGATGCGCGGAGCGGCCGGCAGGTGGCGCCCAGCGGTAGGCTCCCTCCCCGCGAGGCCTGGGCCAGGTGGACTGGAAGGGGCGGAGGTAACCAGAAGCGGGCAGCTGAGGCCGCTCCGCGGTCCCCGCCCTTTCAGCGCTGCGCTCGCTACAAGCGTGCAGGAAGAGGACGCGAGCGGCTGTGCCAGCTGCGTTCCGAGCTCGGGCACCGCTGCTGCTTCTCCTCCAAGCGCCGGGGCGCCCCCGCCGCGCTCAGTCCGAAGTCGGCCACCATGGAGGCGCAGGCACGAGGTGAGTGGTCGCCGACCGCCCTGAGGGTCAGGCCCTGGGGAACGTAAAGGCCCTTTCCCTGCATCACCTAACTTTGCTCCCGGACCGAGCTGATGGGTGACCGCACCACATGCCCGCAACTCCGCTCCTACCCGCGCTTGCGGGGCAATTCCTGCTCCCCAAACTCAGGACTTGCTGTGGGGCTGGGGACCAGTGAAGGACGCATTAAGTGCAGAGGACCCTCCGCAGGGAATGCGCCAGCGGAATGCCTTACTCCTTTCCCAGCCCGTCGCCCACACGCTTCCCGAGCCTCGTGGGCGCCCAAAGAACCTGTTGGGCAGGGACCGGAGTCCGTGTTTCGTTCCCTTCTCCCCGCGGGGAGTAGCGGGGAGCGCTACGCCTCCTGCCCTGAGCGGAGGGCTAGCGTTCCGCAGCTCCCAAGTCCCGGGGTGAGCGCGGCGCCGCGGCGGTGGTTCCGCGGGGACCCGGCTACGCGAGGGGTTTGCAGGGCCGGGACCTGCCTTCCGAGGCCGGGAGAGCGTTACCGCCCGCTGATCTTCAGCAGCTCGACACGGGTGTCCCTGTTTCCCACGGTCGGGAGCGACTTCTGCCTCCCCAGGCGCGCAGGGCCGCCGGCCACGGTCTGGTCGCCACGCTCCCAGCTCCTGCGGTCGCCCGCTCGAGGAGCCCGAGACCTCTTCACCAAGGGCAGCCTGGTGTCTTGGGGTCACACGCGCACGAGGGTTAGGGAATCCTGAAGGAATCGTACAAGAGTGGAAGTAAATGGTCGGTGGAAAGAAACAGAGGTGGGCGGAGGTGGAACAGGAGACTGGTAGGAAGGACACTGACTCTGGAGTCTATCTTGGGAGCAACGCCAAGAAGGGATGGGGGCAGAGTTCAGCCTTTAAAACAGTCACCACCACCTTTCTAACACACTGCGGGAAATTCTGTGAAGGCTTTTTAAAATAAATAAAAAACCCGTTTAAAAAAAAAAAAGGAAGAAGAGGTTCATGACCCTATGTGCTCGCCCTTTAGAGGCCAAACGTCTTGCATGTGAGCGGCTTGGCAGATACTTGGGCCTGGAGCCACCCAGCAGGTTCGCTGCCAGGATTACGATGGTCTGAACAGTACAAACCATCCTCGTTCTTACCATCAGCCAAGATCCTGTGCATAAAGCTGCCAGTTCCAGTATTTTTTCCCACACTCTCTAAATAGGAAAGGAGAATTCAACCAACGGTTGTTGGTCAAATTCAAACGCAGAGGTCAGGTTGGAGGCCTTCACTCCTAAGCTGAAGCAGGTGGAAACAAGGCTGGAGCTTTCCAACCTGCTTTGCAGATTAGAATTATTTGCAGTCTTAAATACAGGCCCTGGCAGATTCCAGACCCATCAAATTGGAATCTCTGGGGCCTGGGCATGGGTATATTTGAAATCTTCCCAGGTGAATCTGTTACTCAGTGAGGTTACTCACGCAGTGAGTGAGTAACAGAATCTGTTACTCTGGCACAGCAGATAGGAAACATTCATCAGGTTACTGAAACTACAGATTGGACCCACTAGTGTTATTCGTTTGCTTTATGTGAGAAATATACTTAACAAATATTCCAGTGCTTTCCTTGGCCAAGCACTGTGCTGGGAGGAACAAACCCGGCCTTGATCTCTGCTTCATGAAATTTACAGTAGAGGAAGAGATGGACATTAATTTGATAGTTATTTGATAAGTAAAATGTAAAATTGCAAGCATCTTAATGATAAGAAGAGGGCCACAGTGTAGCAAGAGCCTGAAAAATCTCCCGGCCTAGTAGGTGATAATCAAACCAGCAGAGTTTGTTCAATGTGTCCCTGTTTCTGCTCTTTGTGCTTTACATGTGTTGACTCATTTCTTCTTCACAGCAGTCTCATGAGCTAGGTAGTGTTGTCCTTCCCGTTCTCCAGAAAGGAAACAGGTCAAAGATGTAAATTTCTTGTAACATCAAGTTCAAGATCTTCTTGCCCCTTCGGACATTACTCTGGCTAAATGAATTGCCTCTTAGATTCTAAGAGAGTCCTGTGATTTCCTAAATGCAAGTTTCTATCCTCAACACCGTTTATTTTAGAATTATCTAGAGTGGGGATGGCTTCTCTTTCTGCCTCTTGATCTAGAGAAAAGCAAAACTGAGTGAGGTTAAGTGGTCAGCTGCTGATAAGATATCCCCATGTACTTTGCAGGGGACCACCCCCCCACACAAATGCTATGGACATGATTTGCACACATCGCTCCATAAATGCAGCAGTGGGTCCTAGAAACGTTTCCCTAAGTGAAATGCTGCAGATATATTCTTTGACTTTGGTAGAAGGTAAAACACAGAAGTGGGGTTAGGAGCAGAGCCATTCCACGAAGAGGGCCTGGAGAACAGTATGCAGTGAGAGGCCCACAGGAGGCCAACGTCGCCAGTTGTTTTCCTGGTAGTAGAGAATTTGCTTTCATAAAAATGATATATTAGACAGAGAATTTATTTAGGAATGTAGCATTTTCCTGAAACATATGGCAGTCCTTTAAAGTAAAAATTTCCTGATCTTTTTGAACTACCTTTCAATATTTCGTTACTCTAGGAAATAACTTTCTGTCTTTCCCATTGTCTTTAGTGTTAAAAGGCAAAATTTCACTTCACACTTGTATGTATTCAGATTAATAATTGTATTAGTGTCCCATAATTGCTGTAACAAATTACTGCAAACTTAGTGGCTTAAAACAACAGAAATGTTTTCTCTCACAGTTAGGAGGCTAGAAGTCCAAAGTCACTATCACTGGACCAAAATTAAGATGTCAGCAAGGCTTCGATCCCTCTGGATGCTCTAAGGAATAATTTTTCCTTACCTCTTCCAGATACTGGTGGCTGTTGGTATTCTTTGGCTGCATCTTTCCAGTCTCTGCCTTTGTGGTCATATTGCCTTCTCCCTCTGTCTCTCTTTTAAGAATGCTTGTGATTTCATTTAGAGCTCCCCTGGGTAATCCAAGATAATCTCCCCATCCCGAGATCCTTAACTTCATCACATCTGCAGAGACCCTTTGCCCATATAAGGTAACATTCAGAGGTTCCGGTGATTGGGACCTGATATCTTTGGGTGCCGTTATTCAGCCAAATTCCAGTAACTATTTTTTATATTCAGACATTCTGCTCAGGAGGATTCTCATAAGTCCATGAATGACATAAAGTAATAAACATCAGATTAATCCTGTTTGCAGATTCCATTAAAGTGAAAAGGTCATATTTACCTTACTTTCTACTTTGCTCAGAGGACATTTATTTGCACTCATCTTGTTCCAGGAAGAACTCAGGGCAGTTTATACAGATATATGAAACAAGGTAATGTAAATTACATTACAGCAAGGTAATGTAAATTAGAAACAGATGAAAGAAAACAAGCCAGGATAAGAACAGAAAATGAAGCAAGGAATGAGCTCTAGAAAAATGAATACAGTTATAACCTTTTTATTAATATTCCATGAAAACAAATTCTTGCTTTGTAAACAAGGCATGTTTGTTTTTTTTTTACAAAGCAGTAAAATAATCCCTTCTCTCATAAATAGCAACAGGTCAAGTCTCTTATATTGTAGGGATCAGATACCCAAGGAAAAAAATCTGTTTTCCACATTTCAGGCCATATAATCATAAACCTCAAACTGTGGAAGCTAGGTATTACACATTTTGATTAATGACTTTTGAAAATATTATGAAGAGCATTCTTAGTGTCTTCAGAGCTACCTTCTATTGTTTTATTTTCCCTCTAAATAAAAGTTTTAAAGCAATCAATGATGTTTATATAAGATAAAGTCAATCATTTGCAACAAATCATGTACTATTGTTGCAATTAAAATTCTTATGAAATGGAGTCATAACAAATCATAGATATTATAGTATATTGGAACCTATTTTGAATTGCATTCCCTAATATACACCTTGTTTTCTTGATACTCTTGCTAGGCAGAATCTGAGAAGTTGCTTCAAAAAACTTATAAGCAAAAGAGTCCATTTTTCTGGCCAGTCATAAGATTTGGTACTTAGGGAGCTAAGTAAATAATAAATAAGTATTGATACTTTGACAAATAATGATTTGTCAAATAAATATTTCAACAAATATTTATTGATTACTATAGTAATAGCAAATATTCAATAAGCGCTTACTATTGAGAGGTAGCAGGGGATAGTGGTTAAGATTCCAGAATCAAGTCAAACTGCTTGTATTTTGATCCTACCGTGGTCACTTATCATTAACATGACCCTGAAAAATGTATTTGATCTCTCTGGGCCTTGGTTTCCCCATACATAAAGTGTGGAAAACAATAACAGCTATCTCACAGGATTGTAATGAGGATTTAACGAGTTAATATATGCAAAGTGCTTAAAACGGTACCTGACACTTCGTAAGTACTCTATAAACATTTGCTGATGTTTTTAGTAGCAAAGAACTTTACATGCATTATCTTATTGAATCTTTTAATGACACCATGGGATAGATACTATTACTTTTAACTCATTTTATAGACAGGGAAAACTGAAGGTCAGAAAAATTCAGTGAGGCAGGCGGAATTCAATTGCAAGTCCATCTGAGTCCAGAGTGTGAGCTCCACCACTATACTACACCATTTCTCAGTATGTGATGGGCAGTATATGCCAATGGGAAGCAAAGATGTGTTTGATTGGCATGGGTCATCTTTCTAGGGAGGGCGACCAAGAAGAGTCATTCCTATGGGTAATGGCACATAGAACTAACTAGATGATATATTTCCATCTCATTGGGACTTTTTGAGTATTAAAGTACTAATTAGAACTAATTCACAATGAGGGTGATAAAAACAATAATACTGTATTTTTTTAAAGTGCCAGATGCCATACTATTATGCACTTAAAAAAAATCATGTTATTACTAAATACAACAAAGTCAAGAGGAAGGTAATGCTATTTTTGTTGTACAGATGAAGAAACTAAATGACAGAGTAGTTGCACAACTTTCTTTAATTCATAGATCTTGGATGTGTTGG